CTGATAAACTTATAGTGTTCGAAGTTGTAATCTAAGTCACTTAGCGTTACGGTAATAATTCAATCTGTACGGTGCTCACTTCAACATTTGGTAGAGGTATTGTCCTATTCCAGTGAATCATTTGATCGAAATCTACTTCAATACAACCGAAGTCCCAATTCTAATGGCAGAGTGCGAAATCTTTGCTCAGCCAATTTCCCAGAGATAGTTACAAATCGTGGTCCACCTCTTTGGTTACATGGATATCCGTATCATTCAGCAAAATTGCATGTTCTTCCATTACAGGCAGGATGGCCCACTGAATTACTCTGTCACACATGTCAAATCTCACTTGCTCAAATATGCAGTGTGTTATTAATAAATCAAATATTTTACTACTTAAATCTTATCTTTCACACATTATGCTCGATATATCTGCTGGGAATATGAGAAACATAATATGACCGTTTTATAATATTGTAAATTTGGCCTCGAGTTTGTTTGCTGATTACTTCTGACGAAGTTTTTCAACCATTGACTTCGATTTAACTGATAATTACCCGTAGTAAATCACAAATTCGATTTCGAACTTGATTATTTCAGAAAACGATGTATTACAAGGTTTAAGGTCATTAAAATATAGTTGTTCGCTTTGCCCTAACTGTGTTTCGTCATGTATACTCAAATCATACTCTGACGATCTATTTAGTGTTATCTTAAACGTTTTTAATCAATCTTTGAAATCAGGGGTTTTTTCTTCGTGTTGGAAGAGTAGCTCCCTTATTCTCCTTCACAAAGGTGGAACCAGACATCTCGTCGAGAACTGTAGAGGTATTGCTAAGTTGAGAATCTTAGCTAAATTATTTGACCGAATTGCTACTCAGAAATTAGCGTCCGTTATGAAATCTCATACTTCGTCATTTTCAAGTTTTCCAGTTTTCTCTAGTGTCTCTCGAACGAATGTCGTTTACATTGATTTTAATAAAACGTTTGACTTAGTTGACTACAAACTATTGATCTTCAAATTCTAGACCCTTTGGTTTCCCTTTATATTTATCGCTATGGATACCTCTTAACTTCATCATCTCTAATAAATTTCTCGTGAAGTTAGATCCTCTTCAAAGCCTTAGGGCCTCTTTTATTCATTCTATACATCAATGATCTCCCTTCAGTGATTAAATGCAGACACATTTTAATATACGCCGACGGTGTTCAACTTTATTAAATCTAAAATGCAAGAAACTTTTTTTTCTCAAGGAGGCATACTTACAATCACTAGAGAGTATTTCATCGATTCACAATAATTGGAAAACTTAAATTCGTTCATGAAGAGGTTGTAGGTCGTGTAGGTGTTCTGTACAATTAAAGATTACACTTCAATCTGGACACTGAGCTCCCTTTAAATAAACATAGGTTAGCGCTAATGTTTTATTAAATGATGGTCCAAAGGCCTCAATGATCCTTACACGCTAAGGCTATGCACGTGCTTAGTTAGATCCATACTTGAGTTAACCTCTGTTGCGTGATCTCTTTGATTGAATCCGTTCAAAAGCAATTCCTGCTCTTTGACCTTAGGGATTTGGGTTGGGACCCGCTTGTCTTTTTATTGCCTTCTTATGAAAATGGACTGTTTTTGTAAACTTTACAGTTATTTGAAAAACGTAGATTTATGCTTGGTGTTGCCTTCGTAGTTAAGTTAATAACTGGTACAATGCATTGGATAACTCTAGTCGGTGAGAAACTTTAATATACCGGATTATCTACTCTCCGAGATATCTACTACTTAATCTCCATATACGATTCTTTAAATTCTATTAAATTAACGCTACTTAATACACGCGATTTTCTTATGCTGTATTTGAATTCATCTTGCGATCTTAAGATGATTCGAAAAACTGAGTAAAGTCGTTTAATGTTATCGGTTCCCAAGCCTTTGAATGTTTGCAACGACCTAGGGATTCCACCAATCACATCTTCACCAAAAGTCAACATCGGTTACCTACCACATCACTGAGCGCATAAACAAAGTAACACAACAACAAAATTGAGAGTTGTTTTCGATAGTTCAACTAAAACCTCATCATGGTTTTCACTAGATGACATACCTTTTCCGATCTCCAATTGAATCTATTAGGTGATATTGAAAATTCTCCGCGGTTTTTTCCGTGAGATAGCGCTGATTCCTATACATTTTTTGTGAAGATAGTTTTCTAATTCTTTGCTCCTGTAAAAAATTGTATTGATTTGAAATTTCAGAAAAAATACGCTACGTGTGCCCAGGGGTGGTTTAGTCGATTCCGTTCCGGAAGTTTAGATGTCAACGATGCACCTTACAGTCATTAAAAAGTCGATGAAATTTTGCAACTGGTGAAGCATGACCAACACACAAGCTATCAGGAAATAGCGGAGACATTAAACATCAACTACATGAGATTTTTGCATCGCCTGAAAAGAGCAGGCTACAAGAAAAAGCTCGAAGCCGCGGAAAAAACCGCGGGGACTTTTCAATAAGACCCTTTATTTAATGCACCTTTACGTTTTCGTTTCTTAAAGGTAGCTTTGAGCGGTGATATTTGCAAGATGTATCAGTGTGTATAGATTTCTCTTGCAGATGATTATGAGAAACGCCTTCCTTTTGGTTTCTAAAATTGTAATAGGAAATTGTTACTTTGATGAATTTTTTATAACAGTTCCAGTGATCAAGCAATTAAAATACGATAAAAAGTTACTTCTTTATTACAGATATATCGTTTCATAATTCGACAATGGTGACCGATTGTGAACAATTTCTCAAATTTTATGATTGAACTAATGTAACTAAGAGTTTGTGTCTCGTTTAGGTTCCTAGAACCGATAATTCCAGTTTTTGTTTTCGGTTTAACATAATAATCATAAGGGCCAAATATTCATGCAGACATTGTGGAAAAACAATCTACAGTGAGATGAAAGCTTACTTCAATCATGACATTGGGGGTGATTGCAAATTTTTCTGTCGGATAGAAAGTTTCATTTTCCAATTTTATTAGCCACGTTACCACTCATTCTTCGAATAAGTGCAAGCACCACAATTGATTTGGAAAGAAGCAGCGTATTATTGGAGATGTTTTTAAATTCATAATTTTGGAATTTGCTGTAAAGTAGGAGACAAATGTTGGCCGTTTTACGTCACTTGATCTGAAAATGGATAGGAATTTATTGATTCGCAACATGTACCAAATTCTTTTCGCAGAATAGAAAGCCTTAAGAGCAAGCGAAGCCATCGCATCTATAAACAACCTGCATTAACTAACAACGTTCATCGATCCAACAAATCTAATTCGTCTTGGTCAGAAACCTGAAAGCTGAACTCTGCACTTTATACTCAACACCCAATTATTCCCCAATAATTATCAAACGTTCGTTTTTTTACTAAAGCGTCAGTCATGATTTCTCATCAAAGGTTTTGCCATGCACTACTTTGTCTCTGCAGCTGGGTAGCAGGGCTAGGACAAGAAACATCTATACAAGCACCAGAAATATGAAGTGATCGTGCTTTCAAGAGAGGAGGATGTTAATAGCACGTTTTTTTATGCATATTTGCACTTGCATTTGTTTATGCGCGACGTAGAGTGTGACAAGATAAACCTTCACGCAAGATTACGTAGAAAAAACCCCAAAAAAGGCTGCAGAAAAGTCAAGACAGGACTGATACAACTTTCGTCGAACTTTTGAAGAATTTTGGAGGAGTGGTCTAAACAGACTTAGATCGCCCCGTTACCTACAGTTGTATTCTATGTTTAGGTAAAACTGTAAACCTAAATCAGAAAAGCAGCACGCTTTTCGGGCAAACCTTACTTTCAAACTTCTCAAATATGTTCAAAAATTATCTTTACCTCAAGAAATTTTCTCCTTGAACCGTTATATTTTTCCCTAAGTGGTCCGAAAGGTATGCTCGTATGAGATGAGTTCCTGATGAGAAGTTCTGTGTAATGGGTCTCAAAATGTAATTTTCCTAATTCCCTAATCCCTAGCAAGTTTTCAGGATTTATGTAAACCCCATTTCCAAAAAAAAAAAATAATAATTCGTTAGAGTAATTTTGGCGAGATGACCATTGAATGGATAAGGGGTCGAGACAGATTCGAAAAGAGCCAGTGCTTCTGTCAAAAAATTAAAAATTGTGAAATTGGTTATGAAATTATACATTTTTATTGATATTTTTGTTGTTTTTTGCAAGCCGAAAAGTGAAAAGTGTTGAATTTAGTCTTTGACATATGCGGCAAAAGCAAAGGGACTATAGGATAAAATCATCGAGAAAAGTTGTGAAGAAGGTTTGAACATAGCAGCATATTTCGTTTATGGTCCTTGGATAGCAGATTAATGGTAAAAATTAATTAAAAATGTATTATGACAAGACCTGTCTTCTTCAAACACCTTTTTCTCGAAACTAAGGCTTGCAACATAACTGAAGCAATTTCCATTTTTTCATTCAAATTTTTTACAATAACTTCAGAAAGATGCATGTAGGGAATTTTCGATAAGTTTATTAAAATGATATCTATTAACAAACTGCTGTTTTCGTTTGGTCGAAAATTGATAAAAATTCAAATCGTTCATGCGTTCACCAATCAAACAAAAATTATTTGAAATCCCACAGCCACTTTACTAATAATGTGACTTTTACTAAAAAGTGATTTTTTTTTTAATTTAAATTTTCACTTAGTCACTTATGGGTCGCTAAGCAGCTTAACTTAAACGCTCTTTTTAAATAAAATATATGCTTAATAATTTCGTTGAACCTTGTTATTTTCTTACTCCTGCTCTCTTACGACTTACTTTCTGGAATGTACGAAATTTCAAATGCAAGATTGGTTTCGGCTGCGTATAATTTCGACAATAGCTGTACACTTTCATGCTTTGTGTGTTTGCATTGAAACTATGACAACAATTTGCTACTGCCCGTCGGTCAGTCCTAAATTTATCTGCTTCATTCCATACAGGTAAATTAAAAATTGATAAAGTGTAGAATCTACTTGTTTAGCAATATTCCAAGCTTTTTTCCAAATGTCAATTATTATAAGACTACAAAAAATCGCATCGTATTAATAATTGCGTTCATGTGTGTTACTAAACAGCGGTAGCAAGAAAAAAGGATTTTAATTTTTTAATCTATTGATGCCATTGCAGTATTTTTTGTTTCTCTTCGTACTGCAACTCGTCGATGAATATTCCCTGTAAATGAACAAGAAGAGAACATCCTTTTACGCCGAATACATTAACTTAATCTCCTCAAAAAGTTGCACAATATCAAAAGGGTAAAGTTTACTAATGTTTACTCCTGCCAGCTTAGCTGACACTACAAAATTAAAATGATTGTCGAATTAAAGAAATATACGTTCAACTTAAACGCCGGATGTCCGTTTGCTGGTCGTCACCTGTGATAGGTCATCACCATTTACATGCGTACGCTAATTGTAAGGTTTTAGAAAACAAAAAGGAAATTAAGAATTTTTAAAAACTCATATTAAAAAGCACACATAAAAAAGCATTCAAGTACAACCATCAGAATCTCAAAATTTTACGTCAAACTCACGCCTATGTACTGAAAAATTAACCATTACAGAACTGTTCCGGGTAGATGATGTTTTAGCCAAAAATGTTCATAGCAACGTCCAAGATGATCACATTTTGTTTTTATGTTTTGAAAGCAAGTTTTAAAGCAATTGTAAATAAATTGAGTTACCGCCATCATTCATTACAACGAAAATATTTATAAACTCATTTTGTTAAAAGTTTCACCACATCCAGAAGGTAGCTTGAAAGATTCCTTAAAGTATATTTATTCATGATCAGCAACAAATTCTGAATGGGGTTAATCCGTTCCGTTCTTTTGTTTCTCTGTTCGTCTGTGTGGTAACCACTTTCTTCATCAAAAGTGAAGCTATTCTCTTCAAATTTGCCAGAAATCTTGTAAATACTTGCACGCACTTTTTTATCGGGAATCTCAATCTCTGTTTTCACATCCAGCGAAATTATCGTTATTTATAGATTACAATATATACACAGAATAAAAGTTTTTATGCATATTCTGTGGATAACCTTACATTCTCTAAAAAAACAAAAAATTGAAAAACCAACACACGCCCAACTGATAATGATAAAGGATATCGAAATTTCTTCTTTTTTCAAGATAAACGTAATGCAAATGAAAGCTTCGGTTACGGCCGAATAATTTCTTTATTTCTTTTTTAATCGAGTATGCGTGATTTTCAAGTAGTTCAACGATTTTTGAAGAAACCTTTGGAATGCGCTTAAATTTCTGCAAAGACCTTGTCATTTGATCCATATCTTTTTGCCTGAAGCACCCTTTTGAGATTTGCGAACACACAATAATAGCCGGTACTCACGGTCGTTAAGCCAATTCGAAGTTCAAATCATACAACTTTGTCATTGTAGCCGTTGAAGTGGTTCAATGGTTGTTTATTAGGGTACCAACTTTCTCTTGCACCTTCAATTTTCGATTGGCGAGAATAATTTTGAAGATTATTTTAATGATTCTTGATATAACCATCGGATCAACTGTGTTGAATTATTGGTGTCCGCGTGACCTCATTTCAAATCAGCCCACCACCGACAAATTTTTGTTTTCGACGGAGAAGAGTTGACTCAGCAATTTTCCAAAAAACGCTGAACGATTTTTTCCATGAGAAAGCAGTCAAACGTGAAATTCGGGCTTCCCTATTGTTTAAGAATAAATAAATGAAAAGCGCAATCATTAAATCCTCTGTAAGTCGTAAATAAATGACCTAAATTCCATAAACAGGAATCATTTGAGTCTTGCCACATTTACGTGCATGACCTACGTATTATCAGTTTAAGTACTGTTCTCATGGCTTCATCTGCATATTTTGGCGATACGAACAATCATTAAAAACGACGCCATTTCACCCATGCTTCCAGAGTTTGCTGATTATTTAGTATGCAAAACCGCAGTAATAAAATAAATTTTATTTTTACTTTAGCTGCACCCATGAATTAAATCTAGTTAATTAGTTAAATATGAAAACTCTTCTCATCTATCATTTTCTTAACTAATACGATTACAATACATAATAAAACCAATTTTCAGTTAAAAAGGCAAAGTGAGCAGACTACATTCTATTACAATTTCATTAGGACATTTGCTTCATATATCTCTTCATTAATTTTTTTCAATTCTTTAAGCGCGAAAACACAAGAACGATATGCAAGTTAATGTAGCAGGATTACGCCGCAATATAAAAAACTTGGCTCACAATTATTCTGATGCTCAGGTAATTATATGGCATGACCTATCATTTTTAATTCTCTTGTCATACATAATTCGTATTTGAAATCAGGTCAAAGTACGCGAAGCGACTTCTAATGATCCATGGGGTCCATCAGCCACCATAATGGCAGAAATCGCTGATCTGACCTACAACGTTGTGGCTTTTTCCGAAATTATGCAAATGATATGGAAACGTTTGAATGATCATGGCAAAAACTGGCGCCATGTTTATAAAGCTTTGATTCTCTTGGAATACTTGATAAAGACCGGGACTGAAAAGGTGGCAGTGCAATGCAAGGAGAATATATTTGCAATACAAACTCTCCGCGAATTCGTACACTTTGAGGAGGGGAAGGATCAGGGAACTCACGTACGTGAGAAAGCTAAACAACTGGTTATTTTGCTAAAGGATGACGAGCGTCTAAAAAATGAACGTATTAAAGCACTGAAAGCTAAAGAACGTTTCGCTCAACATCCCAGTGGCTTTGGAAGCGATGGCTACATAGACGGTCCCACGCACAGAGATATGCCACCCGGCTGGCAAGATGAGCCTAATAAATCAGTATCAGATCTTGAACTAGTGCGGCCACAAACTGCTGGTGAAGAAGAGCTACAGCTCCAACTAGCTATGGCTATGTCTCGCGAAGAAGCTGAACAAGAAGAAGCTAAACGTCGCAGTGATGATGTGCGTTTGCAGTTGGCTTTAAGCCAAAGTGAACAGGATTTCAAGTAAGGACTCAGTTTGCAGGTGTAAAGCATTTGCACTTGTTTTTTTCCTTTCTTTTAGGCAGCAGAAGCAACAAAAAGAAGAACCGCAAAGTCATTTGTTAGACTTGTTGGATATTTCTTTGGGCGCAACGAGTCTTTCGAACTCATCTCTTGGGCCGACCGGAAGTAACGTAACGAATATTGATCTTTGGCCAACAGGAATTGCAAGTCAACTCTCCGATCCCTGGACCAGCACCGTCTCACCTCCTATTGACCCATGGTTACCATCCGGATCGTCACGTAACATATCTGTAACTAACACTGAGATAGGTGCATTAGATGGAATAGCAGTGACCATAGCAGCTACCAATGGGGTTTCTCATACTTGGGGTATACGTACACAATCACCGTCTGTTACTTCAGGCTCTTCAGCGGAAGGCTGGTTGCAATCCAATGGGCTTGACGACAATACTCAACAACCCATCCCTGCTGCGGACAATTCAGATCCGTGGTTAGCAAAATGTACTGCTCGATCTCCAATAGCCGTAACTGTAAACCAAAGTGTCTTAATGGATCCTTGGTTAACGTCAGGGACTACAAAAGCAACAGCGAGCCCTGCTGCCACAATAAAAAGTTTATCTTTAGATGATCCTTGGACACCCAAACCTGCATTAGCTAGTTCTCTAGCTCTTGCAGATTCTTGGGGGCATAATGATAATACTCCAATTAAGGTACAATTAAATGAAAACCAATTTAAGCTTTTTAAAATAATTATGCTCCCTTTGCAGAAACCATCACCTGACTTGGACGAATTCGACATTATAACAAATCGTAATAAGACTGCAAATTTATTATCAGTTGAAAAACCTACTAATAACGCGACTAATAATAATGGTGAGGGAACGGGATTTTTGTAATTGAAACTAAATTTACAAACGCTTATAAAATATAGTCCCTCTAATAGATAAATTGGACTTTTTGCCGTCCGCAAATGTCCCATCAATAAGTACATCTGGACTAGAAGCAAATACAAGGAAACCTCTAAAAACTCCTCAGGCATTTTTGGGTGAGAATTCAGCTTTAGTCAATTTAGATAATCTAATTAAACCTGCTGCGCCGCAACCGGCTGGAAATACATCAGCCTACAATCCATTCAGTGATACTATTATTCCATCAAAATCAAACCTTTTCCAACAACAACAACCTTCCGTAAGTAAAAAAAAATTTTAGACACTGTGCACAAATTCATGATAGCTTGTTGGTTGTAGGGACCATCCATAAATCAACTAAAACAACAACCTTTTGCTGTAAACATGAGCCAAGATCCGTGGGCACCTATCGTTAATTCAAATTTAGAAACAACACAGGTGAATAATTTCTAGATATAATTTCAGAAGTCTGAAATGATTCTTGAAAGGTATTTTTTTCATACATTATCCATGAAACTAATTATATAGTAATTCTTATTCATGGTTCTATCGATTCTCGGAAATTTGCTTAATTTAATTGTGGGTTTTTCACTAATATCTTATTTCTATTTTTATTCTGACCATAAACATCCTCTCTTATTATCTCTTAACCTATTCCTGTTCACATTTATTAAATTTTTTCTTTTAATTACTGATCATGTAACATCATTTTTTCTTTATTATGATTACATTCACTATTATCATAAATATGCATGATATCGCTACATATTACCTTACATATATGCACTGTTACCATTATTCACTTATTGGCCGTAACAAGCTATCAGCGGTTCACCAAACGCCAAACGTTTTACATTTACACAGCACCGCAGAGGGTACTCAAGAGCTAAGAAAGTCAAGACTAAATCAATTCGAATTAATCCAAATTTTGAAAATTTCACTTCCCCGAATATTATTGACACTACCGTCGTTTATATCACCAATGACATCAACAATTATCGAATTATTCAAGATTCACTAAAATTACTAGGGCTAGTAACGTTTTAAAAACTGGTTACAATGCAGATGTTTCACTTCACACTATTCCCATTTTCTGTATTCTCCAGTGAATATTACTGACAATAACAGCAAAGTGGAGAATTCTGATCTGTGTCAATTTGATATATTAAGCTCTTTTTCGGTTACCATCAAATCAACGTCCTCTTCGTCTGCTCTATTACCTAAACTTTTTTTATCGCCACAAAACGTTACTGATTGCAATAAATAATCGATAGGCCGTTCCAAAATATCCTTATCAAAAGCAGCACTAAAGCAACGAACACTAACAACAGCGGCAACAATGTCCGTTGTAAGCAATTGCAATGTCTTTTCGATATAACAGGAATCACTATAAGACGTTTGAATACCGATACAATGTTAATTATTTATACAAATCAATTTAGCTGCGATTCGATCTAAATGGTACTGTGCGGTACAGTAATGTAAATTTGAAGTTCAAGCTTACTGCTGTGTTTATTTAAATTATTCTGTTCTCGTTTTGTCTTTAAGATTAATTTGCTGGTAGTTATGTTTTAGTTCAGCTACGTATAATCGAAATGAATGAACGATCAATTTTTTTTTAAATTACGTACCGTAATACCAACTTGAAAAATAAAAACTCTAATTTAATTTGCCAAAAACGAGTTTCACAAATTTGATGTTGCATACAAATCATTATCGTAATTTTAAAAGTTTAAAAAAACGGTTACATCTGAATCGATATTTACTTTAAGAAAAATGTACATATCATATGTACATAAAATAATACTAGTATTAATAATAGTATTTCAGCAGTGAATTTTTGCAGATATTATCCAAATTTTTTATTGAGTAGGAATTCGTTATGGTTCTATTTTTGTAGGGCTTAAAGCTGCTTGGTTAAGTCTTTAAGAGCATATTAATGAAATTGTTAAAAATTGACGATAATGCGTCTTCAATATAAAAAAAAAAAAAATAAATATTCTCTATAATAGATGTGCAGCTTTCTTTGAGACGTCTTGTAATAAATGGGTTTAACGGTGTATGACAATGCAGATATACGGAACACACAATAAATTTGAGCATTTTTCAACACGACCTAATGCTGTTTCTTTCTTATGAAGAAAGCAAAAATCAGGTCGCCTTAAGAGATAAATAGATTTTTCGAGATGGGATCCGTACGCTACCCGGAAGATGGGAGAAAGTGGCCAGTGATGGATCACATTTTAAAGAGTAAATGTATCGCCAATTTTTACAGTAAATCGAAAAAAAACGCCGAGAGTAAAGCTGTACATCTAATCATGAGAGCAATTAAACATGAAAAGCTTACTTAGCGGACTTTTTCTAAAAGCGGCACATTTTTTTCTCCAACACTGGAATCACTGATGTTAACATATGACTACACTAGTTAGAACTTTGTAAACGGATTTTTGAATCGGCTTAGAAGATTTTCTTAAAAACCGCGCTTGCTCAATTAACAAGAATTTGCAAATTTAAAATTTGAAGGGAAACTAAAGATTTTTCGAATTTTAGTTAATAAATTACTACTGTTGGAAATATTCGCAAAAGAGTTTGCATGCACGGTTGGCGTGAATATTTTCCCATGTACGCCTTAGTTTGTATTTTGATACGTATTTATGAATATTTTCCGTCAAACACCTTCTCTAGAGAAACAAAGATACATGCCAGGTTTTCTCTTCCTAGTGAAGTTAATAAATAGTTTTATTGACGTGTCGGCTTTACTAAGCATGATAAACTTCAACGGTTCCAAACGTGCTTCCAAAAGTTTCCTTACCATAAAATTTAATCAATTTAAACATATATAACCCATTTAGAATAACTATTCAGCAAAATACCTTCGTATCACCTTACCGCTGAATACCTTCTATTACCGCACTTGCCGTCGAAGCACATCTTCGATAGAATCTACGGTGGAAACCAAATTGCAGGTCAGATCGACGTCTCGGCTGGTTTATAGGCACCGGTAGCCGTTCTAAAATTTTTCCTGCCGTATTCAAGAGGCAGATCGAACGGTTCATCGATTCATTTCAGGATTTACTTGGTTTAGATATCAAAATTAGTTGTGGACGTTTCCATACCCTTGGTAATAAAGTTTAGCGAGCACTTCCATTTGGTAGTCAGTTGATTAAATAGCACAATTCAGAGTGTCGTCTGGTTCTGGCACTTTATTTAGTTTCTGATTATCGATATAATTTCTTTTTTTGATGTCAAGCTTATACCTGTAAGTGAAGTCTCCTTTCCAGTGTTATCGAGCGATGGTCTACGGAATAGCGTTTCCTCAACAAATCTTACAACTGTAGGGCTTGTAGGTGCTGAGGAATGTTTTAATCTGGTGCTAACTATTTTGTCGGCTAAACTCTACCCTAACTCTTCTATTTAATTGATGAGCCTATTGAAGTTGCTATGCTTGCTTGTGATTGTTTATTTCAGCTCTCGTCACTTGTTCTCGTATTGTAGTTGCCGAGTCAACTACTCCGCGCTATTTCTCGATCTTTAACAAAACGTACCTGCTGGTTTACAGGCCGATCGTAACATAGCTGAATCTTCATTCCGCCAATAAAAGGGCTTACAAAATGGTAGTTTGGTTGGCCTCCTTATCGATTCTTTGGATTACGGGTGTCGTCAACTCTTTTACTGACCCCGCACGAAAAATATGTGCTACGATTGCTTTAAAGATATTTTTAGCGAAGTTCTTGGCCTCCTATCATCGTCCGCCAAACGTCTACGTTCATACGGTGACGTTGCAGAACAAAGAAACAATATTTCTTGAAAAGCCAAAACAGTTTGATTTATAACTCAGGAGATTGTGAGGAACTCTGTTAAGCGCTTTTAAAACATCAGTATAAATCATATCGGTTCGATCATGCTCCGAGTCGGTTTGATATAGGTACAACTTAACTCTAAAAGGTTAGTAAACCCGGATTTTCCCTTCAAAAACGAATGGCGAAGTAATCGGGCTTATTGCCGATATAATTTTTTTGACATTAGAGTTTCTAATAAGTTAAGTAGTACACTTAAATTTGCAATGCGCCAATAATAAACAAAAGAGTTTCTGGGACCATTTTTAGAAAAAGGCATGATAAAGCTATTTCTCCAAATTTGTGGAACAACAATTATTTGCAATATGTGGTATATATTAAAATAATAATTTATTAAATAATTGTGAAATATACATAGTTTGGGGAAAAAGAAATCCATTATTTTTATATGAACTTCAGGACTTTATTTAACATGCTTCGGATTGTCCGATTTGGGTCAAATATGCACCGTTTTGTTGTATGATTTGTTGCCATTTTAAAGGTAACTTCAAAATGCCTCTCTCATAGAAGTCCTGGTCTCTATTTGCAAAAAACTCTAGTAGTCGATTTTCACAATCCTCCCTAGATTCCAATTTTTTATCATTAAAGAAATTTTGCAATGCAAGAAAAAGATGATAATCGCTTGGTGCCAAGTCCGGACTGTATGGCGGATGCATTAAAACGTCCCAACCAAGCTCCCGAAGTTTCTGGCGAGTCACTGTAGATGTGTGTGGCCTAGCGTTGTCCTGGTGGAACACGACAACTCTCCTGTTGGCCAATTCTGGCCGTTTCTGGTCAATCGCTATCATCAAACGGCCCAGTTGTTGACAGTAGAGATCAGAATCTAGCGTTTGGCCATATGGAAGCAACTCATAATAAATAATCCGCTTCCAGTCCCACCAAATGCATAGCAAAACCTTCCTGGCCGTTTGAGGTGCTTCACCGCTCTTTGACCGCGATCGTTTTCGCACAGGGTTATCGTATGTGATCCATTTCTCATCTCCAGTCACCATCCGTTTAAGAAATGGGTCTTTCTCATTTCCTTTGGCCAAGGCTACGCAGATGGAAATTCGATCCATCATGTTTTTTTCTGTTAATTGGTGTGGCACCCAAACATCGAGCTTCTTTTTGAATCCAGCTTTGTGTAAATGGTTTAAAACTGTTTTATGGTTGATTTTTAGCTCCTGGGCGATGTTACGACTGCTAACATGCCGGTCAACTTCGATCATTTCTCCGATTTTATCGACATTTTCGACGACCGGCCTACCTGTGCGAGGTGCATCTTTAACATCAAAAATTCCTGAACGGAATCTACGAAACCAAAATTGCACATAATTGGCTGTTACAGTATCGGAACCAAAAACACCGTTCACAATTTTAGCCGCCTGGCTTGCATTTTCGCCTTTGTCAAAGAAAAACTGTAAAATGTACCGAATTTTCTCTTTGTTCACTTCCATTTTTAACACGCTGTAACTCACAACTGAATGCACCAAACAAAAAACAGCAAAAGAATTTTTTTTACTGCGAAATGTACAGTATGTAAATGTACAGTATCGGAAATTGTTTGATCGATACTTTACGAGAAATCTATCAGTGCAGCCA